GCGTTATCGCAGAGCAGAGCTGGACCCTGCACCAGCGGTGAGCACACAMTGTTGGTCCAGAGCAAGGCTCAGTGGGAACCTGTCACGCGTCCGCCCTTCCCTCCCCTCCATCAGATCCATAGCATGGCGTCCACAGCCAACCACACGGTGGGGATGGAGTTATACCTCACACTATTCTCCGAAGCCCAGGAGCTCCAGCTTGTACATGGCTTCCTGTTCTTGCTGATTTACCTGGTGGCACTGGTGGGGAACCTTCTCATCATTGTCCTGGTCACCGTGGACCAGTGTCTCCACACCCCCATGTACTTCTTCCTGAAGAACTTGTCCCTCCTGGATGCTTGCCTTGTCTCAGTCACTGTCCCCAAATTCATTGTGAGCTCCTTGTGCCACAGGAGCACCATCTCTTTCTCAGGATGTGTCTCACAGGTCTGGTTGGTGATTCAGTTTGCTGGGGCTGAGCTTTTCACCCTCACGGCCATGTCCTATGACAGCTATGTGGCCATCTGCCACCCCCTGCACTATGACATCATCATGAACAAGGGGCTGTGTGTACGAATGGTAGCTGTCTCCTGGTTCCTTGGAGGCATCTTCAGGGTCTGCAGGAACTTTCTCTTTATCTCTCTGTGGCTCCAGAAAACTCCCACAATTTTTCTGTGATGTCCCCTCTCTGCTAAAGATTTCTTGCTCAAAGTCACATGTCACCATTGATGTTAGTGTGGTCTTTGGGGTCATATATGCACTTTTCTGTGTTGTGTCCATTGGATTTTCATATGTGTACATTTTCAAAACTGTCACAAGAATGCCATCCTCACAAGGACGGTCAAGAGCCTTCTCCACCTGCACACCCCATCTCATAGTGGTGACCACATTTTTTGTGACAGGCGTCACTGCCTATTTGAAGCCAGTGCCGGAATCCCCGCATCCTGTGGACTTTCTGGTGTCTGTTCTCTATTCCGTGATGCCTCCATCTTTGAACCCTGTGATATACAGCCTGAGGAACAAGGACATCAAAGCTTCTCTGTGGAAGATTCTATGGAAACTGTGTCATAAGTATTAGGGGGAAAACAATAGGACTATTCTCTAGAAAGGATCAATTAAACATCTTTATGAATTGTTTTGTGGGGTTTATGGTATATGGTTCATTTTGATATAAGGTAAATAACTGAATATTTTGGTTTGTATACATGTGTATTTTATTTAGAATGAGGTTTATAGGTTCATGACCATGATCATCAATGATTATCTTAGAATCATCAATCGTTTCTTCCTTAGAGCATATCCATATGATCAGAACATCCATGATACTGGGCAGGTTTCTGAATGACCAGCTCCTCAGAAACTGTTGACACAGTTCCTGCAGACGTGACTAGGTTAAAGGGTTTGGGGTGGCTGGTGGTCCCAATCTAATCACCTCAACCCTCAGAAATGCAGACTAAGATGTTCCTCAGAGAAGGACTGACTGTGGGAGAGTGGTCTGACCTCGCTGTCACTGAGGCTGGACTGTCCTGTGCTGCAGCGTGAAGGGAACTTTTGGGGACGGAAAAGTCTGTCCTGCAGACTCCCAAAGAAATGCAGCCCTGCCGGCTCCCAAGACTCCAGCCAGAATGATCTTGGTCTGTAGAATAATGAAGATTTATTCTAAGATAAGCAACTGGTGAGGGTTATGACTACAGAAATGTAAAACAACTACAAACAAAATCTTTCCCCCCATAAATGCCTTTGAATCGGAATTTCTGGCATAAGCATAGATATAGATGCTAAGTCTTAGTAAAAGTTGATGAAGATTGGGAACAAACACATTATAATCCTCAAAA